AACACGAACTTTTCACGCGCCACGAAATTCCCCACCCTACCGCGGCGCCAAGACTGTCCTGGACCGTACCAAAGGACAAGCAAGGCAAGCACTCCACGTCCGCCCGATGGAGCATCGTGTACATGGTCGGGTCCCCCAACACCAACTCCTCCCTTAAAGACATGAAGTCTACAGCCATATACTGGTGCCCACACAGCTACGTACGTAGCATTAGATAAAGCCCAGGAGTATATGTAATACAATACTGCTAGGTATATACGTTTTGTTAGGTTGAAAATCATATTAATATTCGCCGAGTTCGCCGAGAAATCAATTTTCACGCACTCGCACAGGAAAGGCCCAAATACAGTATACACGGGGGCCGCAAAACGACCACCATCGCTATCACTAAGTAATTCTAAACGCCGTAATGACGTCAGCAAGAGTGAGACCCTCAGAGACGGGTTATGCTGGTTAATGCTGAGCTAAAAACCAGTACCCATGCACACAGCACAGTTTACATATGTTCTATAGGACAGTGCTCTCATTCATCAGGTGAAGTTACAAACGTCTTTTGGAGAATTAACGTCACCATACCATAAATCCTCCACATCACCACCACCACCTTACCCTCCTCAACCTTATCCACCCCAGGCCCATACACAGCAGTGCCTCCTACTCCTCCTCCTACTCCCGCAGATGGCTCCTCCCCTGTAGCAGCCATCTCGGAGGCATCAGAGGCAGCATCACCATCTATTTTCTCATCCTTCTCGAACCTATCAACCATACCATAACAGTCTCAACACACCCTTAATCGCTTACTCATCCTCCATAGGATCCTCGAATACCAGGTCACCACACTGTTGCTGCTCCACCCTCTCCTTCTCCAACTTAGCTTGGAACTGACCATAACCATAAACATGAGCATCCTAATACAATTATGTGAACTATTCCCTACAAATTGAAATCTCCTGATATATTATACATACCACTCCTTTTCAAAATCCTAAATCGGATACCTTCCATCGCTACCCCCTACGCAGCATTCAAACAGGTCACTATTCACTCGGGAAATTGCAGAGCTCACACATAGTTAAACTAGGCCTTCTCGGAGAAGGGGCGGAGCTCGGCATCCGGGTTCGATTCCCATGCCTGGCGTTTTTCTGCAAAAATATGTTTTTTGCACGGAGATCTACACGGTCCGGACGGAACCCTAATTTCGTATTTTTCCTAGTATCCCCAGAGCGAGAGCTATCGAATGGTGTATAGCATGTGATCATAACCTCTCTAGATCGAGCTGGATAATTTGTTCGCACGCACGCACGCACGCACGCACGCACAAAGTGTTAGTAAAGTGAGAGAATACGCTCCGCTCGCTTCGCTCGCTCCGCAATTTTCACACATACTCGACTTATATAACGCCTTATTCCTATCAACATTTCCCACCACACTACCATCACCACCGCCCTGCAGTACAGCTCGCTTACCCCTCATCTCGCTGCCCTCATGCATGGCGTCCTCCGTATGTGATCGCTCAGTAGCAGCCGCCCTGGGCATTTCAATACAACAACATTAATCTAAGTCATCCAACATAAGAACAAAATCAGTGAAGCCAGGGCAGGCATGAGCTCGGTGAAATGCATCATAACCGAATCCATTTCCTGGCTGGAGATACTCCCACCTTTACGAAATGAATTCCATACCGGTAAATCCTATACTACAAGATGGGTGTTGTATACAATGAAGTTTCACCCGTTCTACGTGAAGTGGCGTAATACTCTGTGAAAAAAGTCCGATATTCGCGGTGATATGCAGTAGTCGCGGAACCTGTTTTCCACTAGTGTTTTTCATATCACTAGGGTGAAACTCTAATGTATGAATTCACACAAAATTTCAATATTAAAAGCACCATATATATTCTATACCCAATATTTCCTATATTGCCACCATGTAGCACATGACCAACCCCGATCTCCCCCGACTACATCTCAACAT